ATCAAATATTATTAAAAAAAAAAAAATCGAGCTTACTTGGGTAAATTATAAATTTATGCTCTAAACCCTTAAATTCTTACAAATTCATATCTCTAATTACTTTTTCATATTCTAATAGGATATGAATCGATAATATACTATTCCTTAGGGTATGAAAATATAAATTACCATAGTGCGCTAAGGTTAGATCTTCGAGGGTTATGAAAATTACTCGAATCTATTAGAATATCAGATATGTGATATATAGAATGGACGGATTAATTCTTTAAAACCTCTCCGAGGCTAGGTCCTAAATATAGTATAAAATCAGATGACTGAAAAATATGGTGGCTGGGATGCGCGGAGGCCAAAAATATGGTGGCTGGGATACGCGGGGGCTATATTTCGACACTCCTCTACAGCCACGCTCTCAATCTATTCAATAAGAAATAAAGTTATATATAACTTCTATTAACGATAAAGGCTATTTTAATCTTATATTATATATTACGAGTAAAGGCCTATAAATTAAATTCATAATCATTTTTTTAATTAGGGCTATCGAGTAAGTAGGTGAGCGATCTTTGGTGAGCGAACTTTGGTGAGCGAACTTTGGTGAGCGATATTTGAATTCCTTGCGCTTTAATAATTATAAGACCAAATTTCAAAGTTTTTAAAGATTCGGAAAGCACAAACAGCGCTTCAAAATTTAAAAAAAAATCTCAAAATTTTAATAGAAAACAAAAAAGTTATTCTATGTGTTAATAACGTACACGTATTTTTTTGATGAGGGAGACGCGGGAGGGCGAGATTTTGATGGCTGCGGACGCTAATTTATTTATCCGCGATGACTCAGCCGGTCTAACCAAAGAGCGTAGCGAACCCGAATTACAAATTCAAGGTTTTCTAGTTCAGCCCTACCTTATTCTTTTATATATACTTATTCTAGTATAATACGTATTTTTAATATAATATTTAATACTTATTTTAAATAATATATCTTTCTAATATAATATTTAATATTTATTCTAGATAATACGTCTTTCTAAGTACTGGCCGGAAAGGTATGATATGGTATGGGATATTGACCTGCCATATCATACTCTGATATGGTATGGGATATTAATATTTGCATGATCCCATACCTGGTATAGTATGGGATCTTGGCGGGATATTCCACGGTATGGTATATCTGTGGTATCATACCATAGTATGGTATATATATGGGATATCCCGACTGGGATTTCTATATTTAGAAGTATAAGTAGCTATTCTAGTCATCATTCTGGCCAACCATAGCTGGCACTACCATGGCTGGCCCTATCATGGCTGGCCCTACCATGGCTGGCCACTACCATAACTACCTACCATGGCTGCCACTACCATGGCTACCCCTACCATGGCTACCATCGAAATGTGACCCCCGCGTATCCCAGCCACCATGTTTTCCAGCCACCTGATTTTGTACTATGGCCCCGGAGAGGTTTTAGAGAATTAATCCGTCCGTTCTATATATCACATACCTAACATTTTAACAGCTACCACTACTATGGCTACCACTATCATAGCTGCCACTATTTATTATTGAAATAGCCTACTATCATGTAGTAGCTATGGTAGTGGTAGTTATGGTAGGGGCAGCCATGGTAGGGGTAGCCATGGTAGGGGCAGCCATGGTAGGTAGCTATGGTAGTGGCAGCCATGGTAGTGGCAGCCATGGTAGTGGCAGCCATGGTAGGTAGTTATGGTAGTGGGCAGCTATGGTAGTGCCAGCTATGGTTGGCCAGAATGATGACTAGAATAGCTACTTATACTTCTAAATATAGAAATCCCAACCGGGATATCCCATACATATACCATACCATGGTATGATACCACAGATATACCATACCGTGGTATATCCCGCCAAGATCCCGAACTCATACCAGAAAAATGGAATGGTATCCGACCCTACCCATACCATACCCGGGTACGGTATGGTATCACTTGGTATGGAATATCCCATGGGATATACCATACCTTTCCGGTTAGTAAATTAATACTTATTTTAAATAATATATCTTTCTAATATAATACTTCTTTCTAAGATAATATATCTAAAACGTGAATATTAACTATATATATATCTTTATAGACTAATTCTTAAGATATCTTCGCTTTATACTCTATATAAACTATAATCTCTTTTTCTTTAATTAATTAGATATTAAATTTAAATATTTATTCTAATATATCGCTTTATAAATCTTATTATATATCTTATATAAAGACTTACTAGTTCTTCTCTTAATAATCGCAGCCGTAAATACTACTCTCTCTTCTTTCTTCGAAAATTTTAGTCTTTCTCTCTTTCTCTTCTTCTTTAGAAGTATAATATAAATCTTTTCTATAATTATATTCGATATAATATTTTAAATATTAATTAAGTATTAGAGATATTCGAGAAGCGATATAGAGAGATAAAGAATAGTTTATTTATCGAAGATAAGAATAACGTTTATAGCGATAATTCGTTCTTCGAGTAGCTTAATATATATAAGATATTTAAATATCGTTTCGAAGCTAATATACTTTAAAGTGTAGAATTCTTTAATAAATTATATAAATTCTTTATTATTCGTAGATTAATAAAGTATAATTAATTAAGATAGTATTTAAAAACTATAATTAAACTCGTTAATAATAAGTCGTTATTTAATAGAGCCGCTAACGATAGATATTATAATATCGATAGTCTTTATAAAAAATTCTTTTTATTTAACTAGAGCTATTACGATTAGTAACTCGAAGAAAATCTCTTAAGTATACTTTTATAGCTTCTATTTACGTAATAAGATATATATATCTATAAGCTATTTAGAATAGTTATTCTTATATAGTTAGCGAATAAATAACTTAAAGAATAAATTAAGGATAGCGCGTTAAGATATAGTAGTAGCGAGATACGATAGTAAGCGAGATATAGTAATAGCGTTAAAATCGAGCTTATAATTTATTAGAATATTAGATATATAATATATAAAATAAACGAATTAATTCTTTAAAATCTCTTCGAGGCTAGGTCCTAAATACAGTATAAAATTAGGTGGCTGGAAAATATGATGACTGGGATGCGCGGAGGCTAAAAACATGGTGGCTAAGATGCGCGGGGGTTACATTTCGACAGAATCGGCCTTAGAAGCCTCGAACTGAAGACCTCTAGGGTTCGCTATATAACTCGTCGAAACCTCGCTTTAAGACTAAGGCGAGCTCTTAAAATTCTAACTTGTCTTAATCCGTAATAAATTTAAAATTTAATTTTCTAAACGCTATTTAAGGCTCTTAAGACTTCTTTAAAGATATTAAATATCGAGTACTTAAAGACGTAGTTTAATAAGTTATAAATTCATTTTCATATAATTAGAGATATAAACTTATAAGAGTTTAAGACTTTAAAGTATAAATTTATAATATATTTACTTTACTTCAATAGCTCTTTTAATAATAATTCTTAAATTATTCTTAAAAAGCTTTAAAAAGTTTAAGGGATTTTAAGAGATCTAACTCTAAGAATCGAGAGAGATATTATAATTTATTTAATATACTTAGAGAAAGATTCTCTAAAATCCCTTTAACTCTTTAAAGACTTTTCGAAGACTCTTCGAAAGCTTTTATCGAAGAGACTCTTCTCGTAAACTCGATAATTTAAATAAAAATCTTAGTTTTTAATATATCTTTATAAATACTTTATTAAATTTTATTTATACTTTTTTTTAAAAGCGTATAGTTAACTCTATAAATTTATAAACTTTCTCTATTATTATTATTTTTTTAATAATAGAAAAAAAAATTTAAAAAAAAGTAGAAATTTTAAAGCTTTTTTTTAACTTTCTCTTTTAGAAATATCCGCGTATATCCGCGTTTAGATTAAATATAAAGAAATAAGATATATTTTAGAATAATAAACTAATAGAATTCGATAATTTAATTAATTACTAGTCTCTTAGCGTAGTACTTATTCTTATTTTTAAGACTTAAGCACTAAGAAAGTAAGCTTTTTAGTTTATTAATTCTTCGTATATTTCTAATAATATTAAATTAATATTTTAATTATAATAACTTATATTAATAAAAGAGTTAACCTTCGAAATTTTATTTTTTATTTTTTATTTTTCAATATTCGCTTATTCTATAATATTACTTTATATTAAAATAATTAATTTAAATTCTAAGAAGTATAAATTATAGCGCGTATTCTATAATATAGTCTAGAGTTTAAAATTATATAAATTAATTTAATATTAATAAAGTAATATTTAATTAAAGATTTTAATAATATTTATAAAAAGTTAGCGAAAGTATTAGCCTTAATCTTACTTTTAAAAAAACTTTCTTTAGAAATATTATATAAACTAAGTTTTAGATATCTTTTAAGATATAACTAAAACATTCTTCTAAGTATATTATTTAAAGATCTTTACGTAAAAATCTTAATATTTAGAATTTTTAATATAAATCTTTATACTCTATAGAGCTATCATATTAATTTTGAGGGATTGATATATAAATTAAGAGGTGGCTATGAAATATAGTTTTGCGATTTTCAGAAAATCGAATCCGCGGGGTTGACCCCCCTGTCAGTATAGGTTGCCGTACTAATGGGGTGATGAGCAGTCTCGCTAACCCTAACCCTTCCTACTTTTACTCACTCGCACAGTCTATCTCATCTGGGGAAGGTAAAGATGCATGTCTTCAGCTGGATGCGATGAATTGAAAAACACGGTACCATGGTGCGGGCTGTTGCGCTAGCCCTGCATGCACTGCGCGAAATAGACGGGCTCCTAAGCAGGGCTGCATGCACTGCCCCTCTCAGAAGCAGTCACCTGCCGCTTTGATCCATGACTTACGCCCTTTTGTATCCTTCGTCATTTGCGTTGCCATTCCTAGCCAGGCCCGAATTTGAGAGATTCGAGTTCGTGTCCATGCTCATCTTGAAAATTGGATGATTGAGTAGTCAATAAGCGTGGAATTGGGCAAGGCTGATGGAGACCGAAGCGTTGAGAAAGCGGTTGAACTCGGCCTTGGAGTCCGAAGCTTGGAACATCCGCAATGACTACAAGTCGATTTCGGTACTTGTCCTTTACTGGCAAAAAGGCGACATGCCAGGTTTTAAAGAGGAGGCTCATGAGATTGGTGAACTCTTTGCGACCGATTTCCACTATGACGTGGAGTATTTTGAAATACCCTCTGATCGCAGCCACATGAAGCTTGATATGAAGATCAACTCATTCTTAGACGCCCATGGAGATCCTGACCACCTGATGATTATTCATTATGGAGGCCACGGTGACCCCAACGACGAGAACTCGCAGAAAAAGTTAGCTGTGTGGGCAGCGTGAGTTCCTACGATGAAACTGATGGCCAGTGCTAACCCTATCTTTACCACAGTCAGTCAACGGGTGGTCCAACTGTTGACTGGTCTGACATTCACCCCAAGCTTGGGCACGTGGAAGCTGAGATACTACTCTTACTCGATTGTTGTTTTGCGGCCCAAGCGGCCAGGGCCAATCAAAATAGTGCCCTTCCTGCAAATGTCGAGGTCGTAGCAGCTTGTGCTATGGGCGTCAAAACGAGATCACCCGGTCCTCACTCTTTCACCGCCCTTTTAATCAAGCAGCTAAGAGCCTCATTGGAAGCCGCGGGCTCCGCTAAGATTGCCGACGTTGTCAACTCTCTTGCGTCTCGCGACAGTGAATACAGAGAAACTCCAGTACATTTCTCAGGGCTGGGGGTTGGAAGATCCACAGTCTGTCTCGAGCCCTTCGACGCTAGTCCAACCACTGAGGCAGATGCGAAAAAAGAGGCAGCGTGGCTGACTCTCAGAGTATCTTTGCGCGATGTGCTGTCCGACGCTCTCGTTTCGGATATCATTCGGTGGCTCAAGGCTCGCCCAACTCGAAAGGTGTCCAGACTGACCATAGAAACTGTCGTACAGTCCGCCAACAACGTTGGCCACTTCATCCATGGTGAGGGAAGAGCCAGGACATCAGGACCCAAATTTGACCAACTACCAGCGTCCGCAAAGCATGACGTACTGACCGCTTGGAACGAATTCAGGTCTCTCCTTGCGGCCCTTGCTACGCAGCTAAGGTCCCGAGATTTGTTTGAGGGCGGAGATGCAGAAGGTCAAAAATCCGGATCAGATCACTTGGATGGTGTACTACGCGGCCCTCTGGCCACTCTCTTGGAGTTGGAAAAAGGCCTTCTGTCATTGCAAAGCATTGTGCAACGAAGCGTCATGGCATTGCCCGATCTATATGAAAAGAGGGAATCATTACTCAAGGCCATCGACGATACCGCCATGCAGGATATGGGATTTGTGCCTTTGCTGCACCGGCGGTTAAAGGCTTGCTTCCCTTCTGATTCGGAAGATTTGATGAAGACGGACCACATCACAAAAGCAGCGCCGACTGAACTGAAGGTCTTTCGAAGCCTTGTAAAAGAGGAACTTCAGGATCTTGGCACCGTCCTTGTCGAGTACAAAAGCTATGACAGGCATACAGTTCTAGCTGATGGTACGAAGAGATTGGAGTACTACATTCAAACCCTCGCTGATCTTCTTGGAACACGAGGACCTCCAGACTTTCACACTTTGCGATGTACTGGTTGGTTTCACGAAGAGGAAGCCTCAAGGCTGGGCTTAATATTCGAGTACCCAGTGGAATACGACGGTTTCAAGTCCTTGCGGGAACTTATTCAGATGCCTTCAACAAGTCAGAGACCCTCGTTAGCACAACGTTTTTCGATAGTCAAGAACGTCGGCGAGGCGCTGCTGAAATGGCATATATCAGCAAATTGGGTGCATCAAGGAATTGCAAGCCACAATATCTATTTCTTCAAGCCGAAAAATTCTGCAAGCTTCGACTTTTCCAATCCATACTTGTGCGGCTTTGAGTTTTCAAGACCCAGTGGCGGGATTTCCCTCAGCATTCCCGTTAAAGACTTTGAGCAGAATGTATATCGCCACCCAAGCCGCCAAGGAGCACCCAGCCAGTATCATACCAAGCGACACGACCTGTACTCTTACGGTATCTTATTATTCGAGGTCGGTGTGTGGAGCTTGGTCAGCAGTCGTTTTGGTGCAAACCTGACGAAGGATTTAGGCCCACGGAAAAGGCGAGACCAGATCGAGTTGAACGCGCGCGAGCGACTAGGTCATTACATGGGAGCAGCCTACGAGAGAGCTACAAGCAGGTGTTTGAGCATGGAATTTGGAGTCGAGCTTGATGATCGCGTTGGGACCAAGCTTGCGAAGGCATTCGAAGATCTGATCCTGAAGGAAATCGAGCCTGGCACGAGACTAGACTGAGAGTATCCAGCTTTGCACTCAACTCGCGACATACATCATAAATCAGGCTTCCAATTCTGTCATCAAGCCTTAGATAGATCTTTCTCTTCAACCTCATTTCCATCTTTCACCTTGACCAAATTCTCCTTTTCATGGCATAGGACGTATTTGCCCGGGCTGGGCACGCTAGCAACCAAGTACGGGCCCGAGAGGCTTCGACTTCCGGGCTCATTTAGGTAAACCTTGTCGCCGGTTCTATATTTGCTAGGCTGTACAGCACAATCAGCTCCGTAGCTTTGTGTGAGATAGACTGGCGACCAAACTTACCGACCCGCTAGCAGTAATACGGGGACGATCACCACTCCCATCGGAACTTTGAAGCCGCGGATCCTTTGGACGGTCCATGCTGCATACACGTCAAGGTGAGCGACGGGGCAAAGATCAGGCCGAAGCCGTCGATAGTGACAATTAACGGGCGTACCTTTTTGAGTTCAATCTATGACAAAGGCAAGAGCCTACTGCGCTCGTGAGAGATTCGTCTTTCCCTGTACTGTCGTGACAAGGAATGACCGTGAGGTTCATCAGGCCTTAGACCTAGCTTCCAGAAAGCCAGATCCTCCTTCGGCGTCATGCGGATCCCCGCGAGGCTGATCTGGGCGGGGCTGCTCACTGCCACAGCCTACATATTTGCCGAACAAAGCTGGACGCCGTAGCTGCATATGCAGTGCTCAGCCGGGCGCAGCCGAGCCGATCAGGTGGAGCGACTACGGTGTTCGAATAGAACCAAACCCTTTTTACTTTTTTTTTTTTTTTTTCGCGATATTAAAATCAAGAAATTTCAATTAATATTTAATAAACTTTCTTAAATAATAATTTTTAATATTTTCTATTATTAAATAAGATAATAGAAATATTATTCTATTACTTTTATAAACTTTTTTACTTTTATATTAGTATATATAAAAGAATAAGATAGAATTAAGCTTAAAAATCTTAAATTTATATAAATAGTTAATTATAAATTTAAGATTATTACGCCTTTTAATTAGACCGATTAAATTAACTCGCTAGTTCTTTTAAGACTTTTTATTAAAAAAATATATAAATTACTTATAAATAGAATAACTTTTTTATTTTTTATTAAAATTTTAAATTTTTTTTTTTAAATTATAAAGCGAAAATTACGCTTTTTAATAACGTAAAAAATTTAAAATTTAATCTTATAATTATTAAAGGGTAAGAATCTTAAATATTATTTATTAAAGTTTACTCGATAGTCGAAAAGTCTTAATTAGATATATATTATTTAATTTTAAAATAACTTTTTATTTTCTATTAAATTTTTAAGATTTTTTTTTAAATTATAGAAGGAAATATAGGCTTTTAGATAAAAAAGAATTATTAAATTTAGTTTTATAATTATTAAAGCGTAAGAAATTCAAATATCGTTTATCTATTTACTCGATAGTCTTAATTAAAAAAAAAATTATAAATTTAATTTATAGACCTTTACTCGTATATAATAATTATGTAAATTACTTTATTAAGTATTTTTTTAAAATTAAAATTAAAATTAAAATTAAAATTAAAATAATAATAATAATTTTTTATATTTAATATTTAATATTAACTTTTTAAATAAATATAAGAAATTATTATAAAGAACGAGTAAAGGTCTATGAATTAAATTTATAATTTTTTTTTAATTAGAGCTATCGAGTAAATAGGTAAGCGATCTTTAATAAGCGATATTTGAATTCCTTACGCTTTAATAATTATAAGATTAAATTTAATAATTCTTTTTTTATTTAATATTCTATAATTTATTCTATAATTTAAAAAAAAAAACTTAAAAATTTAATAAAAAATAAAAATATTATTTTAAAATTAAATAATATATATCTAATTAAGACTATTCGACTATTAAGCGAACTTTAATAAATAATATTTAAAGTTCTTACTCTTTAATAATTATAAAAAATTTAGATTTTTTACGTTATTAAGAAGCGCAATTTTCGCTCTATAATTTGAAAAAAAAAAAAATTTTAATAGAAAATAAAAAAGTTATTTTATTTATAAATAATATATATCTATTTTTTTAATAAGAAGTCTCGAGAGGACTAGCGGGCTAATTTAGTCGGTTTAGTTAAAAGACGTAATAATCTTAAATTTATAATTAACTATATATATAAATTTAAGATTTTTAAGCTTAGCTCTATCTTATTCTTTTATATATACTAATATTATCTAGATATATATCTCGTTAAAATAAAATAAAATTATATATAAGTTCTTAATAGAGATATTTACTCTATTAAATCTATAAATAATAGCTATAATATTATTATATTTAACTATTAAAATTAATTATAATAATAAGTTATTCGAGTAAGTAATAGTAATAGCTATAGTAGTTATAATAGTTATAATAGTTATAATAGTTATAATAGTTATAATAGCTATAGTAGTCATAATTAAATTTTAATTTTCGTATCGCGGAAAAAGAAAGAGAAAAAAAGAGGGAAAAACCTTAGGTCATTATCGAACACCGTAGGAGGCCCGTTTAGCGCATATCGGACACGTCAAGAAGTGAGGTGACGGGCTAATGCAGAAACAACATTCGCGGGGCTTGCATTTGGAAACACTTTCAAAAATCCCTCTCGAGTAAATGTTCCCTTGTTTGGTCTGAGCCTCCAAAAATTCTGAGCTAACCCTAGCAAGCCGCGCATTGGTGGATGGTCTGAGTTGAACTCACTGATTCTCGACGCCTCACGGCTTGCATTGAAGCCTTTATAAGCAGTGTCTGCTCCCGCTAATTCTTCATCCAACTGATTCCCACTGATGACGATGCAGCAAGACCTTTCGAGCTCCGCAATGACTTTGCAAACCGAGTACCCTGATGAATTGGACGGTGAGAGGCTTCTTTCAGCATTAAGCCTCAAAATCTGACCCTCGGAAGGCAGTGCTGCAGAGGACGAGAGCCAAAATCACGGTCCAGTCGCCACGTTATGGCTTCGACTCAAGAGCAGATTACAGATCGGCAACGAGGGGGAAGCCACTGAAGAGGATTCAGCACGGGCTCGGCAAATAACCCAAAGTACGTCCTTTGAACAATCTCGGAGCAGATATTGTGTCTCGCTCGCTCATTTGGTTGGTGGTGGCAGTCGAAGACTTCCGACCTGGGTATCCTCGGTTCGCAGCTCTCATTGCGTCGCACACATCCTTTCACGTCTGCCGGCGCTTCCTTCGAATACGCGCTCGATTGCTCCTGCTCAAGCAAGATGAACTATCGTTACTTGAAAGCCAACTTGATCGCATCGACCACGAGGAGACTCGGGAGTTGTTCTTGGGTAACAGACGCCGGGATAAGAACCCGGAAAGAAAAGAGATACTCATGAAACTCGAGGTCGCCCTGGCCAGCTATGGTGAGTTTCCTTGTCCCCTGCCAAATAAGACCGAATGCACATATTTGTTCTGAACCCGATGTCCCTTTCGTTTTATGCAGATGCCATACTAGAAAGAAACCGCAGGATTCTCGCTTTCGATAATCCACGGAAGAAGGACGTTGTGAACATTCAGAATTGGGTCGAGAACACATCCAGTCTGGCTCGGGAAGAGACTGCCTACCTCCTGCAGCCCAAGGACTTGATGACGATACTCTCACCCCAGGATGCCGCCTTGGCCCGTCTCACACCGCTACTTGAGGGATTCATGCGCACATTGTATAGGGTTTTCAGGAAGGTCAGTGGCGCCCCAAGCTACCCAATTGAAGATAATCATTGTGATACGATCCATTACTAAAAATCCATCCGCCATCCAGCCTCAGTGCGACGTCTCTCGTGATCCCAATATATCCCTGTTCTCCGACTCGGTACTACAACGGCTGACACGATCACTAATCGCCTCGGTCGTCGTCGTTCTCCTCTTAGTGCCTATTGTCGTTCTCAATGCGCTTGCCAGCATTGCACTTCGGATGGCGGTAATCGTGGTCGCCTCGGCGTTTCTCATCGTAGCGGTCTCAAGCTTCACCAATGCGAAGACCGTCGAGGTTTTCGTATCAGGCGCTACGTAAGTTCTGTGCCGTTGTTCACTCTCGTGTCCTTTCTCTTGCCGAAACTTGCTCTATTGTTTGATAACACTTTTTTCGAGCATAGGTACGCGACAGTCTTGGTCGTTTTCATCTCCGGTAATGGAGTCAAGGCAAATTGATGCAGAATAGATAATTCAAAGCCCCAGAAGACGGAAGCGGGGGGGGAATGCTTCAGAACGCTGCCGAAAATCAATCGCGAACAAGGTTGTGTAGATTTAGTGGAGCATTAACGGTGTCGGTACATAGTCTGAAGCTTCCTAGATCATACTTCGTCTTGAGGAATTTCTCCTGCAGAATCTCATCGCTTAAACGCGTCTATGCTACCAGCATCTCTTGGAGCTAGAAAGTCACCGTTGTTGTAAAGGCGAAGCGCGGCTTTTGTCGCATCTCGTTGATGGGTGTCCTACCTTCGTGGATACAATGGTTACCCATGAGTATATAAGTACCACTCATCTCACGGACAACATTCGACCTGGAAGATGCCAATCCTGAAGGCTGTTCCCGGCGTCCGTTTTGGGGTCACATACACGCAGGGATAGCACGTCCTTAGTGGCAAGGATGTCTTTGCTTCACGTCAGACCTGGAAAACGACTGATTCATTTCGTGTTGTTGATGTTACAGGTAGGACAGGAAGAAAGGGGTCTCGAGGATATTCTGCGTTTCTTCAATGCTGAAATTGCTATCAGTATATATAATATGTGCTGGGGCGCGGGCTTCCCAGTAGTGAAAAGCTTGCCGAGTACTGGTTTTTGACTATATTTGATTCTCAGGGAGATCTCCTAAAACCCCTCGGACCCTTCGGGGGCTCTTTAAGGGCTCTCCGAGAGCTTATATCGGAGGGGCTATCAAAGCAAGCTCGAAATTTGATTTTTTAGTGATATTTGATTGATTTCGAGCTTGCTTTGACAGCCCCTCCGATACAAGCTCGGGAGAGCCCTTAAAGAGCTCCGAAGGGCTTCAGGGATTTTAAGAGGTCTAACCCTGAGAATCGAGAGACGTTATATTTTATTTGATATACTCAGGGGGAGACCCTCTGAAACCCCCTAACCCTCCGGGGCTCTCCGAGGGCTCTCCGAGGGCTCCTGCCGGAGAGGCTCTTCTCGCAAGCTCGATAATTCACTAGTTTAGTATATCTTTATAAATACTTTATTAAATTTCGTCTACGCTACATTATTTGAAAGCGTATAATTAACTCTATAACTTTATAAACTTACTTTATTATTATATTTTTGATAAAAGAAAAGGAATCAAAAAAGGTAGATTTGAGGATTTTGAAGTTCTTTTCCAGCTTCCTCTTTTGGACGTACCCGTGTGCACCCGCTTTTAGCTTAAAAACGAAATAATAAGGTGAGTTTTAGCTTCAAAATCACGAAATCCGAAGATCTGATTGGTCAACTTTAAATTTATGGTTGTCGAACATTTTGTGATTTCAGTCTTGAGTAATGAGAAAGCAAGCTTTCCAAAAAGAATAAGATAGGGCTGAACTAGAAAACCTTGAATTTGTATGTGCAGCCAATCATCAATTCGTCAGGTCTACGCTTTTTGGTTAGACACCGCGGGTAAATAAATTAGCGTCCGCAACCATCAAAATCTCGCATCAAAAAAATAGGTGTACATTATTAACACATAGAATAACTTTTTTGTTTTCTATTAAAATTTTGAGATTTTTTTTTTTAAATTTTGAAGCGCTGTTTGTGCTTTCCGAATTTTCAAGAATTTTAAAATTTAGTCTTATAATTATTAAAGCGCAAGGAATTCAAATATCGCTCACCAAAGTTCGCTCACCAAAGATCGCGGACAGCCGGACAGCCCTGATCAAAAAACAGGTACACATTATTTGATTTTAGAATAACTTTTTTGTTTTCTATTAAAATTTTGATATTTTTTTTTAAAATTATAGAACGAAATGTGGGCTTTTAGATAAAAAAAGAATTACTAAATTTAGTCTTATGGATATTTAAAGGTAACGAATTTAAATATCGTCTATTAAAAGTTCGCTCATCAAATTTACTCGACAGCCCTAATCAAAAAAAATGATTATGAATTTAATTTATAGGCCTTTACTCGTGAAGATTGTATGAATAAGTGGAGACGTAGCGTTAGATTACTCGTACAAAGTTTATCCAAAGTCGCTGTGGCACACCTCTTGTCACTATCGTTCTCGAGCTCGTCATTGAAAGGAGAACCTCACGCCGTTTCATGGGTCGGACTTTGCGGTTTCCCTTGACCCGTCGAGCCTTGCTGTTGAGGGGCGATGAATGCCTTTGCAATGAGATGTTTCGACTGCACACCCCCAGCACCCTTGAGAAGGTTCGCGATGTCACTATAGACCTTCATTGATTCTGCGCGTTCTGTGGCCCACTGTTAGCACATTGCTATTTGAAATAGTCTAGTACGCTAATAGCATTATAAGTTGAATTTTTGGAGAAGATGTGACTTGCCTTGCTCAGAGAATGGACCCGGTGGCCAGGATCGGCGATATGTTTCACTTTTTAGCGACTCGTCCAATGGGGTGCGATAGCTAATGACTGTCCCTCCACGTCTAAACTTCTCACGTCGACGAAGGCCATTAACGTTAACTTTAGCTTCAACTAGAATTGCGCAGCTTCGAACGAGCCCTTCCTTTGCTGTATAATGAAGCAGTGTTCCCCCATCAAGGTCCGCTTGCTCCAGGAGCTCGTTGCGTATTTCTAAACCCTCGGGCTGAGCTAGGCGTGGCAAGATATGCAAAGTCAGCTGTGATAGAAACCATTCGTCGTGCTCCGGGGCTCGTTGCAAGGGACACCTAGCTAGAAGGGCGAAAGCTGTCAATCCATAGTGATTGGAAGTTGTGTTCTTTTTACGATCTCTTAAGTCGGCGCCATGGTTGAGCAATGCTGTGGCTACTCCGAGCAGGCCAATCGATGCTGCTCGCAGGAAAGGCGTGTTATGCCGACTGTCACGTGCGTGAAGGTTCGCATTCGCGCCAAGCAGCAGCGACACAACCTTGGACTGCTGTGCTTCATCATACAAGTAGTCGTCTGTGAACGACAGCAGAGCGGTCTCCCCTTCAGTACTCGCAACATTGACATCGGCTCCAGCATCAAGGAGCGTTTTGATGGTTTCGGTGTTCCGTTTGGCCACGGCAACCATGAGTGCGGTCTGATCGGAAAAACCGAGCCCGCTTGTCGTGGATGTTTTTGGTTTCGTCAACTTATCGAGCTGAAAGCCATGTTGGAGAAGGACATCCACAGTTTTTCTCAACGAGTCTGCCCGGGCTGCTGTGGGCCCTTGAAATAATGGGCACCATACAGCGCTTCCATGGATTGTATATCGCCACTCGCCTGCGTCCAAGCGGTGCAAGGCGCTATACCCTTCTTCGTCGGTATCATTTGGATCAACACTGGAATCATTGGAAAGAAGCATATCTAGAATCTCGGGATCTCGGTTCTTCACTGCCACATCAATTGCACTGAAGCCTAGGGTAGTATTTTTGGGTGCTGAATAACGGACCCAGTCTGGAGGAAGTGACATATCTAGATGCCGAACATTCTCGTCGTAAGCGTACGGATCACTGCCATCACGAAACGATGAAATTGCTCCTTGGCGAAGAAGAGATTGGGTGGCTTCCGCTGCCGACATTTCAACCGCCCAATGGAGCGGAGTCCCCACAGGCAAAGTGAAGGGGTAATGGAGCGTTGGGACCTTCTGCTCGGAACTTGAGTCGATGGGGGCTCCGTGACTGATAAGCTCTCTCGCGATAGTGTCAATGTCTGGAGGATTGAAATGAAATAGCCAGTGCAAGCAGGTCGGGCCACGATGTGAGGGTATGATCGAAGGATCGGCATCCTGGGAAAGCAACAGTAGGACATTTGAAGTCTCTCCTGCCATGCATGCACGATACAAAGCTGTCTCCCCGCAGTCGTTCAATGCATTCACCTCTCGCGGATCTATAAGCTTGAGGATTTCTTTAAGTCCTTCAGATGCAGTGACAGAAGACAGGATGTGCAGAAGCTTGTCGCCCCGTGCATTAAGTGGCGCCTGTCTATTGAGATTCACCACATTCTCTAGTGAAGTGTGCCCAAGGATGTGTGATATGGTTTCTCGATTCAATGCTGCGTAGAATTGATTATACCCTCCGTAATCGTGGAACCTTCGGATGGATGTTTCTAGGAGGCTACTGTCCAAGTGCTGGAGCGCGTTTCGAAGAAAGAAAGCTCCGCCTGCAACAGCCTCAGACATCCAAAGGAGCTTTACCTTGGTTACATCAGCTCTAGGTAAAATCTGGAAGTGCTCATGGACAACATAAATTAGTGCTCGTAAAGGCTGGCTACCTTTTTGGGCACCAGCGTAGAGGAGGTCGAGTATAAGATCCCTGATCTGGCCGTCCTCCTGATGAAAGCGACGCTCGGGCCCCGTATACTTCATAAATAGAGCACATAGTATCTCTGCGCTCAGAGGCGCATTTCTTGAAAACGCTGATCGGATGGCTTTCGCATTGTGCATGCTGATCTCCGGAACCTCCCAGTCATACCGAATATCATACCCTTCAGTCAAGTCATCAGCCACATCATCCGGGAAAGAGGCGCCACTCCTGGAACCTTGGAGTCCCACCCTGAGGTTGAACCGTCAAATATTTTGTTGGCAAGGAAATAGGGTAAATTCATACCACTCAGAGTATACCCGGCTACCATCGTCCAGCAAATGCCCCACTCTTCCGGCCCTTGTTCGTGGGCTCTGCTTCAGCAACAAAGAGAACGATGTCTTTAGTGCCAAGTGTAGGGACACAGGCAAAAATGAAGGGTCACTCTCTAATTCTGAAAGCGCAACGATCTCCGCATCGACACTTTCAGTACAAGGAGGCGAACCACTCTCTCTTAGGAACAAGCTCCAAAGCATCAAACCATAAGAATAACTATCAATTCTGTCTAGAAGGGATCGGTCAAGGGGCTTTCCATGGTCGGAAAACTGCTGGAACTCAGGAGCTCTCCAACCGACGGTTCCTCTACCTTCAAAGATACCATCTTGACCTGCATCGGCACCACCACCAAAGTCAGCAAGTTTAGCCACCCAGTACCCAGCTTTGTAGAACATTAGCACGTTCTCGGGTTTAAGATCTCCATGAATGAGCTCTATCTCGTGCACAGCATCCAGTCCGCAACCAATATCAAGGGATATGTGATGCCTGAGCGCGACGGGGTAAGATCTTGACTCGCGAAGAAAGGCAGCTAGTGTATTGTTCGCCAATTCCAACGCCAGGAAAGGAACTTCATGCCAAGTCTCAGCATTCGTGCCCCATCCTAGGAGGTCAACAATGTTTCGGTGGACCCGTAGTCTTGGATGACAGAGTGCGGTGATCTCGATTATCATATTGCGGACTTGCCGGCTCACTTCAGGGCTTGAGATATCCAGCTTTGTTTGGCCATCAAGAATAAATTTTGGTGTTTTGATGGCAGCGATTTCTACACTGTTATTCAAAGCTGCGGCCGGGGTTTTCGAGTCGGCGAGTCCGTTGACTTCTTGCTTTACTACGGCGAATTGGGCCCCAGAGCCGAGAGGCGAATTCCCATGGAGCAAATCGCAAGGGCCAGGGACTCTCAGAGTGCTCAACAAAAGAGAAAATTTCGATATTGCAATGGACCTGTCAAGACTCGGTTCTGGCCCCAACGACAATGACTGAAAAGTCCGTAAAGCTGGACTCGTTTCCGAGAGGTCGCTTAAAAATGCTTTGTATGGCACTGGTCCCGTAGGAAGAGACGCGAAACCTTCGAGCACATCCTCGCTTGACGACATCCTCAGTGCGAACGCGAGGGCGGTTAAGAGCTGTAGAGGAAGGCAACGAGGAGCAGTAGAGACGCGAAGATGAACGCCAAACAGATAGATGACAGCGGCAATTATAAGGAAGAAGCCTCAGTACGACGGATGCATCAAGCACAGGCTTTATGGGAACAAGGCGAGTCCTTACCAAGCTCGCAATGACCAAGCATGAAGGAAGCTGACACGCGCAGGGCGGTGCAGGCAGGACTCTTGGCAACTCTTGGCAACTCTTGGCAAATCTTGGCAAAAAAGATATCGGGGGTGCTGAAAGTCTTGCTACATAAGTGATTCATGAACATTCTTTGGCAAGGTACGAGTTAATGGCGTGGCATCATCAGTCCATCGGAAACAGTAGTAGTTGATCAGACTCCATCTAGAAATCCTTCAAGCTGCGGCTGTCCGGATGCATGCAGGTTCGTCTCCATCGCGAAGCGCTCGTTGACTTTGCCTGTTCTCCAGAGTCACTTCCCATGGAAGGTTCTCACTTAGGACGAACCCTGGTTCTAGGATGATTGTGATGTCAGTATAGCAATTCCCTTGTCGCAAGGGTAAATTACCCAGGTTCCACCGCTGGCAAAGTTCGTTGAGCCTTTCGACTCGTAGACTCCAAACTGTTGCCCTTGGTTGTTGTCTCCGAATTTGCTGTTCGAGACGATTCCTCCAGACTAGAATCAGATTCAGTCTCGGTCTCCTGGAGGACTGAAGTTGGACCAACGGTTTCAGTCTCTTCCTCTTTGGTCTCTTCCTTCAATTCCTTTGCCCACCTCGCCAGAACCTCGGCTACGGTCCGATAGTTCCCATCTTTTTCGTCCCTGAATTTGCACATGCCGCAATGGTCGGCGTGTATTGAGAGTGTCGGATAGTCTAGCAACCTGGCTGATTCTTCAGGTACGATCTACGCTGGATGAGTCTCTCTATCTTAGATCGTTGCGGATCGAAGTGGATGTACCTTGCCAATAGATGTGCCGCCAACGCTTGAGCTGAGCTCTTCAAAGAAACAAACGATCTCGACCTTAGTCTTCGGCTTTCCCGCACGATGGGAGAGCCATGTTGGAAATGCAACCCCAAGCTTCACCAGCGTATCGGAACCCTGCTCCAATTCCTTGAGGACGCCTCCAGTGGTTTTCCTCGAAAAGAGAGAGAGAAAATTCTTTCCTGATTCGGCCCACTGTGCTTTGTTTGAACCTTGATGAGGTGTTCCAAGAAAGGCGATGCGCCTTGTACAGTCTGATATAGACTTTGTGTGGGGTTGTTGTAGGCAGTCTTCCGCGTTTGATAGAGCCTGCTTCGTCTTGGCCATCAATGCCTCAGATCTTGGGAAGGATGACCTACCGCTGCGCAGACTAGGCCACCGAGGCTGTGGGCCACGAATATGATCGGGCGTGCAGCTGTTTGTTCCTCCTCGTGTCTGAGGCCGATGAGGCCGGCCGTCAGGCTATCTGCATGGTTCTTGATGGTGTTGGCCGAGGCGGGCATTGACCAGAAATGGTAGATGTCGGCGTCGTAACCGAAAGTCAGGATCCGAGCTCGTGGGATTTTCTCTGGCAGTAAGCTTTCGGGCCATAATGTCGTTCCTTCCGTCCACGTCTCTTTCCTATCCCCCCTCAAGCCATGTACAAACACAATGCTAGTATTGCGTCAGCCAGATTTCAGGATTTGGAAGGTCCAAACAAGCAGAGGGATAAGCGCTCTCTAAGCCAGCAAAAAGAGAAGATTATAGAGAAACTCACTCTACGAGAGCGTCCTTAGGACTGCAAAGAGTTGCGAATCCCGTTCGGTCTGAATCTAAATTTGACATCTTTTCGGTGCCGAGCTGAACAGCAACAAGCTACTTCTCAGTCTTAGAAGCGGCGAAAATAGGAACCTCAAGATACTCTGGGGGCTCAAGTGTACATTATGTGCTCATTGCCAACAGTGCAGCACCCACAGAAGGCTCTGGAGCCGGGTAGTCGCATGATGACAGGGATACATATTGCCAGGTGATACATCCGTGCAGAGACTGCCCGCAAACATGCATTCCATGAGGACCCTATCTGGAGGTTAATGACACCGTCCCACCTGACAAACATCTTTCTTCGCCGACAGAGCACCTTCAAACAGGATTCATCGACGTTGGTGCAAGCGAAAGCTTTTCCAGACCGCCTTCTGTAGCTTGCCGAGGGAAGCACCAAAGCATGGTCAATCTCTAAGGCGCAGACACTACGTCAATACTCGGATTGGTGGGCCCCAGAGAAATTCAAAGCCTGCTTCGGGCTACATGCGTCTTTGCATTGTCAGGAGACCTATGTGAACACCCGCCTTCTTAATTGCTTGCCACCGACAGCATGGTCCTTCAACACTGTCATATGCGGCTCTCCTTCTTGCAGACTCAGCCATCAAGCAGGCTTTTGTGACAGATGATAGGAGCACTGCCTTTGGCGTTCTCTTCTCTTAAACCCTTTCGATAGTATCTTATCGTATTAGATTTTGCCAGTTTACGAGTCCATGATGCAGTCACATTCTATGTTTGGAAGTGAAAATCATGGTGTGCAGGTTGGGACTTACGTCGATTTAAATGGTAGGGACTTCGGAATTCCTCCAAATCTTCGTATGGTAGCTTACCCTTCAGCTAGGAAAGCATGACGAGCGTCAGACCATCACAGACTGGCTCAGTCCTCTCGACTTCAGTCAGAAACAGCGAGATGTCTATGCCAACCACCAACCGGGCACCGGAGAATGGTTCCTAGGCTCGGACAAGTTCAAGGGTTGGGAAGGAGGCGATAACAATGTCTTGTGGTGCCACGGAATTCGTGAGTGAATGCAGCGAACCAAGGCCTCAGTGAGTAGTTCAACTGACGGTAGCTCAGTCTTTTGTAGCTGGTTCTGGCAAAACCGTCATGACGTAAGCTGAATCCACTACCTCTGTGTACCGTATCTTACAAAGGTTCTACCAGGTCAATCATTGTTGAGCACCTTCGCAAATCGCAAGTCGATCGAACAGATGTGGGAATTGTTCCCATCTACTGCGAGGACAAGCTACAGGAGCTACAAACGCCAGCAAATCTTCTTGTTAGTGTTCTCATTCTCACGCATCACACATACACAGGGCACATAGGTATGAGGTATCAAGTGGTTGGGCCGTCCCGACGCCGGGATAACACCTGAATAGAGGCCTGAACAGACGTATTCGTACCCCAGCGCCGAGAAAACTCCCATGCCTATGGCATAGACCTGGAGGAAATGATAGCTAGCTATGTACAGGTGTGGGTGGGTGGGACAAAAAAGTATGCAATGGCTCTGAAAGAGACGAAATCGAATGAAGAGCCATTGACAGGTGCAAAACAGGTGGCTATATAGCTCGTACTGGACACCTGTCCCCAACCCCTTGCCGGGGTACCAACAGGAGTACCAACAGGGGTACCAACAGGGGTACCAACAGGGGTACCAACAGGGGTACCAACCGGGGTACCAACAGGGGTACCAACAGGGCCATGATGTCATGTGACCCACTAACCCCCAGTCCCACTGTGGCGACTAGTCTGTGGAGAGAACTATCTCAAAGTCGGGGTTCATTGGCCGAAGAAGCGAAAGCTTTGTACACCAAGCACGCTCGTTATCGAACTAAGCCAACCCCAGACGAAATTACTTCGCTAATCCAAGTGGAAATGTGCAGATATTCCGCGGTGTTTATCATGATCGATGCGCTAGATGAGTGTCCTGAAGACCGCAGAGTTCGCGCAACTTTTATCTCAAAGCTACAATACATCTCGACCGCAACAGCCTCGACGGACACTGAAGTACGAATCCTGGTGACATCTCGTTTGACCAACAGCTCTTTCCTGAAGGCGAATGAGATCGAAATCCGGGCTACCGATAGTGATATCGAACGCCTTGTCCGCCAGCGGATTGAGGACGGCATCTCAGACGATGATGAAGTTTCACAATCTGTCCAGAGAAAGATGGCACTCAAGGATGAGATCGTTGCGATGATCGTTGAGAGGGCGAGCAAGATGTGGGTTCCCATCAAAGACGGGCATATGCGGTGGCAAAACGTACTGATCAGCATTGTAGGTTTCTTATAGCAAGGCTACAACTAGACTCACTGGCAACTAAAACTACTCTGAGAAATCTGCGTGAATCAATCAAGCGTTCCCCCAAAGATCTGGATGAGCTGTACCTTGAGGCATGGAGCAGGGTCACTAACCAGAACATTGACTCCCGATGTGATGCCCAGCAGGCATTGTGCTGGCTTTCATGTTCATTTCGACAACTTAAGGTTCAAGAGCTTCAACATGCTCTTGCGACTAGGGAAGGGGACAAAGCTGTGAATCAGGAAAGTCTGGTGAACTTTGACCGTCTCATTCGTTCGTGCGCAGGCCTGGTGACCATCGACAAAGAGAGTCAGATCGTCCGGCTGGTCCATCAGACAACTCAAGCATTCTTCGAAGGCAAGCTTGCAATATATTTCCCAGAGGCTCATGTTCGACTTGCTAGAGTGTGTCTTACGTACCTTCGCTTCGATGAATTTGCTCAAGGGCCCTGCGATTTCATCTCAACTCGTCCATTCGAGATACAGATCAGATGTGAAGGTCCCGTTGCGGCGAGCAGGTTCTTGCCCACGCGGCTAATGCGCAATCCATTCATGGAGTACGCCGCCCACCATTGGGGTGATCATGCCCGTGGTGAAGCAATTGAAAAAGAACTTGAAAGCGAAATCCTGAATCTTTTGAGGACACCGAAGGCACTCGCAAGCGCTGTCCAAACCCAATATCGGGGTGCTATTCTAAGCTATGGACGCTCACTCCATAGCTCGAGACATACGCCGATCCATGTTGCTGTGTCATTTGCGCTGGAAAACGTTCTCGAGGCCTTGCTCAGAGACGTCTTAGGCTTGGACCTCAATGCCAGAGATAAAAAAGGAAAGACAGCTCTCCATTGGGCTGCAGAATCTGGGCTAGCTGTCTGCGCACGACTGTTGTTGGCGGCTGGGGCTGACATCAAGGCGCAAGATTCGAAGAATTACACCGCACTGTACAAAGCATCCGCTTTTGGTCATGCATCCATCGTAGAAATGATTCTGAAACACGACAAGACTGCTAAGCTTGAGACGAGAGAAATCATGTGTGCAATCCGCTCTAATCAGAAGCTGGTCGTCGAAACCTACATACGTGCGGCTCCAAATCCCACAGATAGGGCAAATCTGACGCTTATGAGGTCTTCGGCCTTGGGCAAACCAGACATCATAGAACTTGCTATTTCTCTTGGCGCGAGTGCCAATGTCGAAGATAAGAAAGGCCGCACTCCACTACTAGTAGCAGTGGATAACGGTTGCAGCACCGCAGCGCAGGTTCTTATTACTGCAGGAGCTTCGACCACCGTGCTTGACGAATCTGGCAGAAATCTGCTGCAAGTAGCTGTGTCCTCCCAGAATATATTCCGAGAGCGTCTTGAAAATATTCGAGACTATGATTACAGTCTTGCGGAGACAGTTGACGCAGGTGTCTACCAGCTCCCGGTCCACATAGCAGATGACCCACGTCAAACCTTCCTGAAGCGTTTATATCATTGGATCGAAATCGCCCCTGATCCCTTGATGGATCTTATCAAAGATCCCGACTTCATTGCGGCAATAAACGAGGATCACGAGCACCCAGAAATCATTCGACTACTGCTTGATCATGGAGCCGACCTAAAGGTCAAGACCTCTGAAGGTGAGACAGTACTGCACCTGGCGATTGGCAGCGCGCCACGAGTCAAAGTGCTGTTGGAGAGGGGAGCACGAGTACTGGATGTTGATGCTCGGGATAATCGAGGTAGATCCGCCCTACATCACGCAGCAGCGGCGGGAAACCATGCAGCAATGGAGATTTTACTCGCCAACCAAGCTGATGTCACATTGAGAGATTTCAATTGGGCGTCTACCCTGCATTTTGCTGTCCCGCACCCGGCTTGCGTGAGACTGGCGATTCAAAATGGGAGTAGCACGAGAGCAGTCGATTCTCAGAAGAGGACGGCCTTACATTACCACGTGCTGCTTGAAGAGTTGGACCCAAACGTGTTTGATCAGCTCCACGAAGCTGGCGTGAATCTGCACGCGGTCGACTCCCAGGGTATGACAGCAATCCATTACCATCACAGCCCTAGCTTTGATCTTCGTGGCTTCGAAGAGACTCTAAATTGGATCAATGCACAATGGAATGAGCGATACGTGCTCCGGGAAATCAATATCTGCTTCCACCTTCGAGAGTCCAATGCACAAGCAGCGAGGGACCAATTGCGTTTCTCTGCAAATATGAACAAAGCATGGGAGAAGAGCAAAAAGTGGCGGATTGTACCCGATGATGAGATACCGACCGATTAAATAGATGCCTGCTTGTTGAGTAACACCTTAGTCAATGAGGACTCATGTTTCAGACCAGACTTATTCCGTCACCTGGAAGTTGAGAAGACTCATAATGACCTCCCGGCATTGGCAGCACTTAGAGTATTGAGCAAATTAACAAATTCTTTGACACTATCGACCCTTCCCACATGCGTTTCCTTCTCGCTCAAGGAAAAGAAGCTGCAGCATTCCGAAGAGCCCACTCATCTGCTGTTTCTTCGTTCACTGTTAGATAGACCCTGCTTTAGCTCAGCATTTGCCTTTCGGGCTCTTTCGGGGAAGCCTCTTACGTTCCTGGGAAGTAAGTCTGATAGATAGGCCACGACTTACCGCTGGTGATCGAAGGCTCGACCGCTTGACTTTTGCAATGGACCTTGCTGCGGCGCCAACCGCTGGGCAGTGGATTCGACCGGAGCAACAAGACTGGCACCATCTGATTCCCTGGGCTCAGATTTGTCTGCTCCGTTGAGGCTACTCATGCATTAAGCCCCGTGGGGCGAAGCTGTTCACGATCGAACCTGTAACAGATAATTTGACAGACAATGTCGAGAATGTTACCTCTAGCACAACTTGAGCCGTCGTATGACACATGCTTCACTAAACGTCGAATTTCTTGGCTAAATTCAAGCCTGGGATCTCACACCAGCCGGCTGAAGCGGTAGTAAGAAACGAGGTTGTCTGCCTCTTGAAGTTCTTAGGGAGACGATGGAGGTGGGTGGAGCCTTTTGATTGGTCTTCCCCTGCTGGCCTATCAGCACCTGCGTGTAACCGCTGCCTGACTAAGACTGGGCTGAGCCCCACACTCAGCTTGGATCATTCTTGGTATCTGTGTCGTGTCCTTTCGTATCGCTCTCTTCACAACGTGTACATGAATCACGTCTGTGAAACTTCATCGAGGCATGGTAAGATCATGCCTTCAAATTCGCTGATGCTCTAATCTTACACCGGATACTGAAATGAATGTAGTCATCTCTAGAGGAGCTGTACGCGGGTACTGGCATAGGGAATGCCAAGGGGACCGTTCAACCGATCCTTGAGTGAGTCCAAACATGTCGCTCAGTCCCCCATGCCGTGGCTGACGATCCATATAGCGTGGTAGCAATACACGGATTGAATCCAATAGGCAGCGAGACTCACGCCATCGATACATGGCAAGATAAAAAAAGTGGCAATCTATGGCTTCGAGATAGGATACCGCGTGAGCAGCCCAATGCCCGTGTATTCCTCTACAAATACAATTCGAGCCCCGTTTTTGGTACAAATGAGACACGATTCAACGATGAAGCGAATCAGTTCTTGGAATGCTTGCGTCTTAAAAGGAGGCGGATACAAAACGCCCTCTGTTGCTATTAGGACACAGCTTGGGCGGCATATTGATAAAACAGGCTATGGTAAATGCCTTGGCCAATCCCATATATCGCGATATACAGGAGGCCACTTACGGTCTCGTGTTCTTCGGTACACCCCACGGCGGGTCAGGAGATGGTTGGAAAACCAAGTTTGGAAAGGCTTCCGTCCGCATCGCGCAGTCGCTTCCTGGCAGAACCTCCAACGACGTTATGGAAGCTTTGAAAAAGGGATCATCACTCACCGACACATTGCAGGAGGCATGGAGACATCAACTTGATCATTACCAGATTGTGACTTTCTACGAAGGGATAGGAGAAGTAAAAGCTTGCATTACCGCAACTAGGTGTCAGGTGTACTAACGCATAACAGGTTGTACCACAGCACTCTGCCACCTTGGGGCTTCCAGGAGATCGTGAAGTCGAGATCGGGATCCAAGCAAAACACGGTGATATGTGTAGATTTGATCCAGATGTGAGCATGGACGAGGCCAACTACAGTTTCGTTGAGGGAAACGTGCTTGAGCTATGCGAAAGGGCTTCCCAGCTAGGTGAGAAAAACCATCCCACCATGGACAGAAAGCAGGAAGAAACATCAAACCCGACCTCTTCCACAGGCAGTAACGCCAAATCCCCAGTCTCCAACCTCGAAGATGACGCTCTTCAACATAGACTCGATCTACTTAGAGCTTAGGCCATCATGTCATGCCTTGGAAATCCGCTTCCGATATGTCTTTGAACTGATACTGACTTCTGTCTAAAGGCAACAGGGTGAAAGAGGATGAATACGATTGTAAGTATGCTATCGACGCGCCAGTGGCTGCAATCCAAAGCTAAAGAAGTTTCAGTGCTGTTGCAAACCCTTGAGCCTCATGGTCGAAATCCTCGTCGCTATTCTATCTCTCAAGCTCATCAAGAGAGCTTCCAATGGATCTGGGATACTCAGAACTCGAGGCCTGGTTTCAGTAAATGGCTTCGCAGCGAAGATCCCATATTCTGGATCTCTGGAAAACCAGGGGCAGGCAAGTCAACACTGATGAGGTACTTGATGGAAAGCGAGCAGACAATGAACCTCTTGTCCGGACAGTCAGATGCGATGATTCTTGTTCACTATTTCTTTCATGAGCTAGGCGAGTCACAGGAGAAGAGCTTTGGAGGCCTGTTGCACGCCGTAGTCTATCAACTTCTCATCGGCTTACACAAGAAGAATCAAGCTACCCTTTTCCGGCTCTGCGAACTGCTCAAGCCACACCTATGTCTGAACCCCACTTCCAAAGCTGCCTTATCGGACAACGTATTGATGACAATACTCCGAAAAGTTGTCGCAGAGTGCAAAGAAACACTGGGGGTATGTTTGTTCATTGATGGTTTTGATGAGTGCCAAGGAGATCACCGGGAGCAACTGGACCTCTTGGCAGATTGGGTCAGGATCTCGTCCGACAAGAAGCTTTCGGTGAGAGCTTGCATCGCTAGCCGTGTCGAAATGGAGATAGAACTTCGTCTCTCAAACGAGCCCACCTTTGCAATTCATCGTTTTACGGAACATGACATCTCAACCTACGTTACCGCAAAACTGAGACGAGCTTGGGACTTGATGGCCAAACAGCGAGATGGGACAACAGCAAAATATGATCAGGAGCTTGTTGACCGAGTCATCGAAAAAGCTGAAGGTGTCTTCGTCTGGGTCACTCTTGTAGTCTCTCAGCTCGTTGTGGCCATAGAGGAAGAGGCCGAATCTCACGATCTCTACAGATTGCTAGCGGATCTGCCAGAGGGTCTCGAAAAGCTATACGCAAGTGTCGTCGGCAAAATAGACCAGAGATTTTGGCACGACACAGTCAACTTTCTCAGCCTTATCCAGAAATCGAGTCACTCGGCTTCATCAGCCCGTGCGGACACTTTACTCAAGTTTAGTGCTGCTATCCAGGACCCTATGAGCGCAGTTTCGTGTAACGCGTATTTTGAAACAGGCTTTACCACCGACGATGCTGGCCTCCCACATCATCAGTGTGCGCAGGTGAGACGTCGGTTGCAACGCAGCTGCCGAGGCCTTATCGAAATCGAGGATGCTGAAGACCTTCCGGGCGCTAGAGTGGCTTTTCTACACCGGACTGTTGAAGAGTACGTCACTGGAAGCCAGCTCTTTGAGAGAATGCTTGACGAGGTAGACAGCAAACTTCTGAGGGACCCAGCCGTTGCTCTTATGGCTATGAACTTGCGCCTTGTGAAAGTCTATCCAGAGTACGTGGAGTCTCGGGATTTTGAAGAAAGAGAGCAGCAAGGTCCGTCAAAAGGAAAAATAATTAGGGACCTACGCGTTTGCGGGTTTTTTTCTTGCCGCGAGAGCTGCCGAATGTAGTACTGGATCTTCTCAGATTCCCTATGTTGAGGAGCTGGATCGGGTCCTCTCCCTTTCCTATCCAGACTGGACCAACTCTCACTACGGATGGCGAATCCACAAAGCTCGCCCAGACTGGAACACGGATTTATTAAGTCTGGCTGTCAGTTATGATCTTGCCCTCTACGTTCACCAGCAGATTAGGAAGAATGGAAAAGGCATAATTGAGAAAGCTCATGGTCGACCTCTACTCTTTTACGCTTTTGATGATCCATCCTTGAACAGATATAATCCAGGCGTGAACACATGTCAAGCCTGCGAAGTATTGCTCGAGAATGGCGCTGATCCAATGGAGAATTTTAAATCACATACACCATGGTCATTCGCGATATCGGCACCGTGCGAATATATGGGTCCTCTCGATAATCAGCTTCACATCGAGAAGCTTTTTACGCTCATGCTCGAGCATGGAGCAGATCCAGTCCAGCCTGTTGATCACAGGGACCGGCTCACGCATGGAGCAAACCCAGTCCAGGGTTTTGATCAGAGCAACAGCTACAACAGGTGGTTATCACATTTTGAAAAGCTTTACAGTACAGTCTTCCACCTCGCTCTGTACTATGTGAGGCAAGAGAGAGAATATTATGAACCAATACTCAGATTGTTGGTAGATCACTGCAGCGACTTTGAGGCGACCGACTCAGATGGTATCGGAATCCAGGACTGGGCGGACAGTCTCAATCCAGAGATGGGGACTTTCCTTGGACAGGAAATTGCAGCGAAAAAGACACGTAAAAGACGCCGGAGACACTGAGCTAATGGTCTTGTTGGGTGGAAGCTTTCAGATAGAGGCTGGGAAGTCCCCATTGGTCTTTGTGTCAACTCTACAGACTGCTGTACATGAGATCAGGTTGGCATGCGAATGGCGAGGCGTATCTAGAAGCACTTGTTCAATGCGTGCGTGAAGTAATGAGAACACAATGGACGTCTATGGCTATACCGCCTCTGTTCATGAAGCCGATATAGGGGCTTGCTAGCTCGCCCAGAGAGGTCATTAGAGGAACACGAGGGCAAGCAGCCGCAAAACACAATCATCTATTGACAGAAGAAGCCGAGCTGAGACTTAGGATTGGGCAAATTGCCCAGTACCACACACCGTAATTGACGATCGATGCTCGAAGCAAGGCAAGTAGCCCATGATGCACCGGAATCTTCCTTGTTTGTAAAAACCCGAATATTAAGAAGGTAACTAAAGATGGGAATGATCCCTTCCACGTGCCTCAAGCATGTGATTGAGACCCACGCTATCTATCCTCCCTTCCAGCACAACCCTCCTTCTGACCCGCTTCCTCCGGAAAATTCGCCCTGAATAGCGTCAGATCATTGCCGTAAACCTTTTGAGAATTGAGAGAGATTTTATATCTGCTTCGAACTATTGAAATGGGGGCAAACCCATAGCATCAGCACATTGTGAGCATTGCGCTTCACCGTTACGTTACGTAGCCGGCATCTGCAAATCTTTCGTTGAGGTTTGTTCGTGAGAACCGTTCGTATATTGGCATTCAAAATCCCATCACAGCGCGACTAGAACCTCGAGCATCACTTACTGCCTACTACGCAACCGCCCAAGATATGCCAATCGAGACTGCGAGAATTGGACCGGATACGTCCAATGCTCTTTCCCCACTGAGCCACTTGATAGTCCCACTATGAGTCACTCTCGGAGCGTATTCCAGCGCTCCTTCTCTATCGTCAAATGATCTTCGATCAGGTCTCACTCCTCTTTTCATTCATTTTCACAAGGCATAGACCGTCCATATTCTTACCTCTCAATAGCTTTCCTATAAACGCTTTGCCCTAGGAGACTTCTCTCATCTTCACACCCCATGTCGCCTAATGCAATGGTCTCAGTTGATACTTCTGAAAAGAGGGCTGCTCTTAATCCAAATCACGCCAACATTGAACCAAACACTTCCAGCCTCGACCCATTTTCTACCCAAGAAATGGGCGTCCAGGAACCAGAATCTAGCAATTCTTCCGGACCACCACCCTCTACTAGGAATACCCCGCTTGAGAACCCATTCCGGGACGGAGATGCGCCTGTGGGCTACTTCTACCCAAACAGCAGCGGCATGCAGGAGGGCCTTAACCCCGCAACAGCTACTCAGATGGACCCGGCTCCTGCTAATCTACCACCAGTGCTCACTGCCAACGCTGATCCCTTCGCCGACGCTGATGCCTCCGCCGCCGAGATGACCCTCGATGAAAGCCTTCTTCCACATCCGTCTTTGCCTGCCCGACCATCTGGTCTCAGCAGAGGCTTGCAGATACCATCACGCATCAGCCTCATCACATGGGGCTTCGGTTTCCCACAGATCTTGGCTGAGCAAGGAGTCACTAAGTCGCAATGGAAGTTGTTCATGCGCGAGCTGAAGGCTTTTGCAGAGCTGAGCGTGGGGCAATGGGTGACTGTCGTAGCCTGCACCCATGGTGTTAGCCTTCTTTTTGGAGCCATCGTAGGTCAGTCTCCGGGTAAGAACAGATTTCGTTCGATGTTGTTAACGTCGAGTCAGGTCACATTGCTGGTCATAAAATGATGAAACACAGACAGCATGAGAACTTCCTCCTAGCATATAAAGGCGGAGCAATGAAAGTGTTTGAGCATCGGTGGAATAATGACTACTTTCATCCACTGGGTCTACAGATTCGGATTGAGCCCCCGGGTATTGGCAAGGTGGACGGCATGGATATCACCTCCTCGAAGCTTTTCAGGTACCAGCAAAAGATGGGCACCTCTTCTCCTGCACCAGGCATCGCTTCAAAGCAAGGGGATAAGAAGGAGTACAAGTATCAGTCCAAGGAGGGTCGCTATCGCATGAAGGCCGCGCGCAAAGGCCGCATTATTGTTCTGCCATTGAACATGGTGAAGCCTGTGCCATCACAGCCAAGAACGACAGGTTCGGAGAGTCACAATGGTCAGACTGAAGGGTCCGCCACCAGCGCTCGCCCTTCGGTTCAAGATTTCGCTTGCTCGAGTCAGAGACAATCTGGCTCCGAGGGTCTAGATCGTACTCCTACCACTGCTCAACGCCTTGCCACGTCTCATCAGAGACAATCAAGCTCGGACAACGCTCCGTCTCCTGCCCGAGCTCCTACAACGCACTGGGGTGGTTTTCGCTAGTTTTTGTGAGCGTCTGTAGTTTTTGCAAACCTTGGTAGCAATTGAAGTCGGCCATGAGGCTAGATGAAGGATTGTAGGCATCATGGGAATGACTGAGTACTTCAGGGTGTTGGCGCTTCTGGGCCTGCTTCTGCTGTTACCAATCAGAATCGTCCTGTACCAACCGCCAGCAACCAAGAAGCAGTGTAAGTACAAGCTCGGACCTGTAGCTTATACTGTCCGCAGTATACTGATGGCTGAACAAAGATGGTGGAAAATCACCGAATGTGACGCGAGGGTGACTTTCGACGCCAAGACATTTCAGCCCTATGCACTCCACATGTTGACTTGATAGGTGAGAGGTGCTCTTCCTTCTCATTCCCTCAATGGCTCCCACGCCAACAATGCAAGTCATTCTCCCGATCACAAACTTGCCGCAAACGTCTAATCCGCTATCGGCAAGTGGAGGCTAGCTGTCATGAAACTACACCACAAGAGGGGCTTCAATAGCCATGGATTCTTTCCCCTCTGCCCTCTCCACCAGCCTCACCTCCTTCCATAGCACATCGTCAGCCATTACTTCTGCCCAAGCTTCTGCACTGGCCCCCTCTGTCACTGCTCAAAATACCCTTCAATCCTCCTCATGGCTGGGCTTACTTGGCTATGCTTTGCTCGCCATGGCCAAAGGAGTTCCCGGAATGCTGATTTGGATCATCACGTTCACCACAATTACCTTGCCTACGGTGCTGTTCGCGTTGTTCTCGACCAGCTTGACGTTCACGATGAACTTCACTACCCTGTACGAATAGACCACGAGTTGACAATGGCCTTGAAGCAAGCTAATTGCCCTCAGAATGCTCATCGTCCTGGCCTTTGCGTCTCTCGTCTCATGGATCGTGAGATACCGATTTCTGAACATGTATGCGCGACTGCCTCCCGAACCTCAGCGCAAAGAGCCTCAGATCGATCTATTCCCAGACACACAAGACGGAGACTCGAAGCCAGGTCTTGCAAATTATCTGGACGAGTTTCTGAGTGCTATAAAGGTGTTTGGGTATCGTGAGTAGGCAGCCAGAGAAACGGCTCCCAATACGAGCTTGGCTGACTGGAGATGCAGTCGAACGCTCCGTTTTCCACGAACTTACCCGAACGATGCAAACGAGGAAGCTCATTGCTGGGGAAACACTACTTTTGGAAGAAGAGAAGGGCTTTTGTATGGTGGTTGATGGCATGGTACAAATATTCGTCAAGTCAAGTCGGGATGAGAATGCCGCAAATGGTGGCTTCTGGAATGAGGGAACAGAGAGGTATGAGGATGAGGGGGAACATTCGGATGGAGAACATCAGGGATACCAGCTGCTTACGGAGGTCAAGAATGGAGCGCCGATGTCATCACTGTTCTCGGTCTTATCGCTGTTTACGGAAGATGTCAAGTTCCGCCATGACGATGATCGAGATGCTAGGCCTGTGTCGAGTGCTTCGAGTACTGGCTTTCCCTTCGGTGCAACGACTGAGTCTGGTCCGAATACTCCGGCTTGGTTGGGTGAAGAGAACCCACGGATGACGGCGTATACGGATCCGAGAAGTCGGGCTTCATCGACTGCACCTGCCAATGATCATTTGCCTGCTATTCCACCACTTTCTCTGAATTCCACATCAGACCAACAAAATCCGCACCGGACAGATCATGATCGGAACAGAGATCGTGGTAAACGGGGAGCTACCCGTAGATCTGAGAATGGCAAGTCTGTGCATCCTGATATCGTCGCGAGAGCGACAATAGATACCACCATCGCCATCATCCCAGCTACCGCCTTTCATCGTCTTACTAGGGTCTACCCCAAAGCTACTGCACACATCGTCCAAGTCATTCTGACCAGACTTCAACGTGTTACGCTTGCCACTGCGCATTCGTATCTTGGTCTGACCTCTGAGGTCCTGCGAACAGAGAGGCATATGAATAGGTATACGACCTACGATCTACCGAACCATCTTCGTGGGGTGGCGTTGGAGAGACTGAAGCACAAGTTCACACAAGAAAAGGAACGTCTAGACTCGGCTGAGGACTTTATGAAGGGCATCGCTCTGCATAATCCAGGGGCTATTAAGAAACGTCGTTCGAGTAGCAGCCTGAGAAGAGAGATAGCCCAGCAAGCAAAACTCTCGGCCAATCACGGCGAACCTCACACCGCGCCCTCTAGCCACTGGAAGGGCCATGGCCACCGCTCAAGTATCAGCGCAGGAGATCTACTTACCAACATACAAGTGTCTCGCACCCGCCCCGAGACGTTGCCTCGAATGCACACAAGCAAGCCGGCGTCTCCGTTGGGACTAGGGTTTCAAGAAATGATCAGTCCGCTGAGCCAGATGGAGAACCCCCCTTTTGTGCCTGCGCCTGACCTGAACGGCTTACACGTGCACGGGCAGAAGTCTTTGGACGAGGACGACCTTTTCAGGCAATCAATCCTCGAATGCATCATGAAAGCCATTGGCCTCACAAATGCAAACGTAGTCAAAAAGCCGATAGACTCCGTCGAACAGTCGCCGCGCATGGTTTCCTACGATGCGCAACGGCAGAAAGCAACATTCACCAACAATGCCTTCGGCTTCATCGACCCATACGAGGGCTCTGGCGATGGCGATTCCGAGTCGGT